CTAAGTAATTGTTAAATAATTTTAACATCGTAATAGATGCTAAATAATTCTAATTATTGTTTATAATAAATTAATCTAATAGCATCTATATTTGTGCAAAGGTTGCTTCTCACGAACCTTTACGGGCAATAAAGGGATAGTAGATGTAATCTGTAGAGTCTCTCTCGTCTCTCTCCTCGTCAGTCCTTACAGTCGTTTTGGGGGAAAACAAGACATTTATAAACACCACCACCACACTCACGCGCGAGATTAGATTTGTTAAGATAATGAGGCGCCCGGTTTAGCGAAGCGCCTCCAGCGTGCCTGCAACCATCATCATGAAGAGCCTGCAACCGCCGTCTCCTTAATCCCGGATATGACTTTGCATGGCGAGACCATTGCAGGATGCAGACTTGCGGAAGGATATGTGTTTACGAGCCTTCCTAGCAAATTTGCCGAGACAAAAATTCTTTATACTATCACAAATATTTCAAATATTATTCACGTATACGGAAAATAAAGTCTAACGTACTCCCAATATATATTTGTTAAACGCAAAGTTCTTATATAAGTCTAGAAAACAATTTTTTGCAATACATAAAATATATCCTTATCAACTGTGTCTTGCATATATAAAAAATTAGAAAATTTTCATTATAAATAATACAAAATTTAAAATTAGTATTATAACATAAATTTTATTATGCTATAATCGTCTCACTTGATACCTTGGGTAAATTGAATTTTGTTCCCCAGCTCTACACAGAGAGAAACAAGGCAATTCGAGAGTGTGGGGATAAGGCAAGAGCTCGTGAGTCTATGGCTCTTGAGAAAAATGTCGATGTCGAGATCCGCAGTCGATCAGGATTTATCCTTACTGCAATGCAGACTATATCTGGCGACGCGTTATTTCGACATCGGTGAAAAAAACATAATAAAATTTAACGGTCCGTCAGGCTGCGGCATTTCTACTCCCGGGGAGCAGCCAATAAATACCGGGGACAAGGCGGCTACAAATCTCAAGATAAACAGGAGCCCGTATTTTTCTACCCCCTTGACTTCCGCCGCGTTTCTCCGCGCTTCTCCGCACTTTCTCCGAGCTCGTGGAAAAGGGCGCTCTGCCCTTTTTACATTCCACGTATGAATTATTAGGTGGCCGGACCTAAGGGGTGGACACCGCGGTATTTAATTTTCACTCCCCATTAAAACAGGACGAATTTTTCCCTAATCGCATCCCTGAAACGATGAAAGTGCGGTCGGCAGTTTGTCACCGACCCTTCGTTCTATTATCAATGTATTACCGCGCCTTACTCCTCTCTTGCTCTCTTTGTTCCTCTTTCCCTCTGTAAGTCGTATATTAATTTAAAGTTTGGCTTTTCGACGTGATTGCATATCGAGAACACATTCGGATGCGCGTATTAACGAGGTGAGAAATCTTCCATGTTGCCGACACAGGTAGACATCAGCGTGGGCGATGCCAATTAAGGAGGAGATGGCGAGCACTGAAACAGAACTAAAGTCTGGCGGCTGCCTATGATGTATGTGGTGGAAAATATTGGAGGCAATCTGTCACGCCATCGACGTTCCATAGGCGCCTGTTTCCCTCCTTCTCCGATCCCCTTCGCTTTTTTTCCTTGGTTCAGAATCGTACGAATATCGTACTAGAAATTTAAATAATCTTGTTCACTGATCATCACAAAGAAACGAGAAAAAAATAAGTGTATTTTGCAACTTTTATTAATTTGTTAATGTAACTATTTTGTTTAGTATTTTAATATTTATTATAAATACGAAAAAATATTTATCATTTATTTTTAATAAAATTGATCAATGTTTAATATCTGAAAAAGTATTTATATATTTACTAATTTATTCTGGTAATATATCTTATTCTCTTTTTCTGCTTTTATGTACCTGCTATACTCGTAAAAAATTTAAATATCTATCGTATGTATATACAAGTGATCAAAAAACAAGATCCTTTTAATTCTCTCTAAAGACGCAACTGGCATCTTCTCTCTTCTTTCAATACACGAACGCACGAGTGTCGTTCTCATCTCACACAGTCTTTTTCCTTCTTGAACGAGCTCCTTTCGGGTATACGGTTGATTAAACGCGCAACTATGTAATGCAACGCAAATATACTGGCCTCGAGCTCGTTTTCCTTTTCGGCGTTCCTCATCCCCGAAGACAGACCGGAGTCGTTCCGCACTCGATTCCACCTTTCGACTCTCTTTGAATTCCTACCCCGGTCACTTGACGGAAATATTTATCGAGGGTCTCCGGCGAGGCCCCCTCGTTGCCCTACTCCTTCGGGCTAGACAGAACGACGACAAGGCGAGACGCGGTTCCTCGTAGTTCACCCCGATATCTTTCGTCAATGCGTCCCCTTCGTCCCTTTCTCCTCGACTATCGTGTTCGCTCTCGTTCGCGAGTTCTTTGATCCATTTTACGGAGTCCGTTCGGTACGGATTATTTGCTCTCTTAATTACATTTCGATTTTACCTCGTCTCGTCTCTAACGCTCTCTCGTCGTTGAACTGATCAGTTCTGCTCGTCTTTCAAACATTGATACTGCTAAACTATATATTCTATAGAACATATTCCATATTAATATGTATTAGCATAACTTCATGCAAATCGCAGGCCTAATAAGAATGAAAAACTGTTGAAAAACTAACATATATAATGCCATTTAATGATGTCATTTACCGAATTAAATTTCAATTTCATTATAAATAAATGAAGATTATAAATAAATGTCTATATTCGAACTTTAATATTGATGTACTTTTTACAGTTATATACAGAGATACAGATATTAATTTCGATGTGCAGGGATTTCGATATTTCGACAAGATTGAGACACTTTTAAATTCTTTAGCTTTTTATCTTTTCCCGGTCTACAACGGCGGAGAGTGAGAACATCAGGAACCTGATTTACATTTCTTTCTCTCGTCGGCATAAAAATTCCGCGGCGATAACTTCCTTTGTTCCACCCTCTGTGGTCGCAGAAACGACCGACCCCTGTGGCTCAAAAGCCGTGGGGGTGCCGTCGTAACTTCGTCTAGTTTCTCGTGCATATTACATTTTTCCTTAATTAAAGGCAATACACCTTTCGGTGGTAAACGCGAGTCACTTTCTGTCGTCGGCTGTGACCAAAAAACTGTCGATTAAAATTGCAACATTGGCAATAGCATTTTGTTTAATATACAGGGACATCAATTATTGAATGTAGTATATAATCACTGCACAATATGTTACTTTATATTATATAGAAGATGAAAACTTATTATATTATGTACAAATCTACATTTTAAAATTATTTTGTTAATATTTTTAAAGAATCTAAACTAATTATAGAAAGAGTTTTATGTGAAAAAATTATCTCTTTGCTATAATATTTTATTATATAAATTTCTTGAAATTAGTTATATATAATGCAATAAAATAAAAATAAAAAAGCAAGTAAAGTAAAGCATACATTAGTAAATAACGGTTGATATTAACACCTGATTAAACAATAATTCATTCTCAAATATATTTAAAAAAATTAAAACATATTATATATAGATTCTATCTATACACTATATCCATGCCATGTAAAATTCAGACGCAAACAAATAATAAGGACAATGAATTCATTAGACTCTATTATTTTTCTATGCGATGAACATAAAAAGTTTAGAAGTTGGTATAAAATGCCAATAGTCTGAACAGCTTGATCGCTTTTTAAGTCGGACGATAATTAGCATTATATTTTCGTGAAAGTTTTCGCGCAATCATACTCGAGAATTGCTTCAAAAGCGTCCAGAAACGATCGAGCGAGCCGTAACCGTGCGACGTTTCGCAACTTTATACGTTCCTGATAATCTCTCACACAGCTCCCGGTTATTCGTCTGGATTTATGAAATGGCAATAAAATTTATATGACTCGGTGGATCGTTAGGGGTGCGGGCCTGCGCTCGTTCAGATTGATGTCGGTTGTGCCGCGAGTCTGGTCCACTTGCCGGAGGCTACGTTTATTTCTCTCTGCGATCGTCGTAGAGCGGTCCATGCTCGTTATTAATCTTTTGGAAATCGCGACAGTCAGGTTAATCATCGTGTAAAACAAAAAAAAAGCGAGTTCTATTTAATATATCGTTGCGAATCATTTTTGAAAACTTTGTAGATTAAATAATATAATAATTCTCTCTCATCAATTTATTATCTTTGAAATTCAATTCTCCAATTATCACATAAATATGTCATTCACAAAATTTACATTAAATGTATAAATTTAATATATATGTGCTAATTAATTACATGTATTAATTTAATTTCCTCGTATTAAATTGTGTATTTAATTATGAATCTCTTAACAATTTTATGTGTTAGCAATATGCAAAGATAAAATTATATTATCTGTAAATTGATAACTCCAAGAAAATTTGTGTTTAATTTAGAAATCAATGAAGCGAAATAAATCAATTATTTTTAGAATTATTTTCGCAAAAGTATATATGCATTTTTAAAATGTATAATTTTATTTAAATGTATAATATCTGATAAAAAAGCATGAAAACATTAATATTTTTAATGTTATATATTCAGCGCAAAGAGTTAATCAATCTTCAAGAAATATATTTAATATGTATCTCATTCACACACGCGATATGTCTGGATAATCTTACTTTCTTATCATTTGATCTCGAGTACCAGAAATAAGAAAAAAGGTGCTTTTGATAACTCACTTATGCAGTGAATCACGCGTGTGCTTTGCCGAGCATGATGCCTCGAGGACATGTCTGTTCTACCTGTTGCTCGATTCCCCATCGACGGTAGCAAGTATCGCGCGAAGAATTCGACGGGCTCTCTCTCCTTCTCCATATCTTCTTGTGCCGATTGCGAACAATTTGTAAATCGCTGCAGCAAAATTTCAGAAATTACAATATGCGACTCAAATCGACGTCAAAAGACCGGCAAGATAGATAGACCAACTTCAATTTTGTGTATAACCGTATCGCTTTCCTCTTGTTGCAGGTGGACGATCGAGTCAGGTCTCCGGGAACATCACGATGCCTGACCGCTACTACCATGTCGCTCTCCATCTCGCCTTCTAGCCCCGAAGAACCTGTTACGCTGTAAGTAATATGTACATTTAAATTTTTCTGAAGCTATTTTTGTGACATTTAAGCTTGCCGATGTTATTATCAAAATGAACGATATATATAAAATTTCCACAATTTTCATCATGTAGAATAAGTGTTTTTTTTTTCCTCAAGATGATAAATTAGAACTAAAAAAATGTATGCTGAAATGTAATTCATACATTTATGATATGATAAGTAAAATTATATAAAATAAAATATTCATTAAGCTTTACTAAAACATCTTGTAAAACAATAATATAATAATATTTTCAATAAAGATATTAATTTATAATCTCTATTAAACAGATGAAACAAATTAAATGTGAAATATTTAACTTAAATAAAATTACATAATAATCAATGCGATAATTAAAAAAAATTCGGAAAAAATACGATACATAATAATAACAGAAAACATAAGATATAATCATCTTTCACTTGAAACTAAACATTACATGTACATTATCGTATGGGTATATGTAACATGAAATATTCCATAAAAGCCTCTAGAAGAAATATTGAAATCAATGAATATATAACAGAATATATAACAGAAAGGAATTTTTTTAAATATGATTTAGACTATACACCTAATAGAGAAAACAATAGGGATAATTAACGCTATTCCATATTTATAATATATAAGAAAATTAAATCTCTTTCTCTCTTTCTTTCTCGCGGAAAACACAGACGAGACTGCGAGCTTTGTAGTTTCCTTTCTGCGGTCCAAAAAGCCACTCAGATAAATTAGTAGTCCCCATTGCCGCATTGCAAGTAATACAGTTTCTCGTGTGGTTATATACCGGGCGTTTCTCTGTTGTTGTCGGCTCGGTTTCGCAGAATATCGTGTAGCTCGCTACGCAGGAAAGCGAAGAGGGGGAAGGAAGGAGAGGCGATATTTATGCCAGTTTTTTATTGCGCTTTAGCCTGAGAGAGCAGAATGGAAACAATATGTCACCCAGTAGGGAAAGCAGCCTGGTAGCAAGACGGGAGGAAGAAGAAGGGAGCTACGCGAACTTCTTGTAGGTGGCCCGACCGGTGTGGTACCTAACGTTAATACTAACGCCTCCGCCGTGCCAGCGCCCTCCGGCCGACGTCATGATTTTAAATGAACAACCCCCGTTTCTCCCTTTCAGCCCGAAAACACGGGCGAGATTGCCGCCGTGCGTTTCGTGATACCGCCTACTAAACGATTTTTGAATTTGTTCCCTTTGTACCTTTATTTTCATCTCGAATTATTTAGTATGAGATCGATTGCCGTAGAATACACGAAAAACAGAGAATGAGAGAGAAAGAGTGGATATTTTTTCATGAATATTGCTCTTTATACTTGCGTACATATTTGTGAATTCTGTGCAGAATGGATTACCTCATTTGCACAACGCGAAAAGCTCTCAAGATGTAAAAAAAGTAAAAAAGTAAAGGCTAAAAAAAGTTACCGCGATATATAAAAATGTTGTGTATGTTAACAGTTTGTTGATTGCCTTTCTGGATACAAATAATTTAAAAACCTTTTTTGAAGAGATAATCAGATAGCTTCCTACTAATTTCATAATTTTTAAATCTTCTCATATTCTAAATAATTTCATCGCAGTTTACATAAAAATACTAAAATATAAATGTATTCTCACTGGGTGCGGATAATCGGTAATGGAAATAGGAGATGGACTTGCGCATGTATTCTTTAAATATAGATAAATATAGATAAATATATCCAAACTATATAAATATAAATCCGGCAATCTCGCGGTGAGTTTAAAATATTCGAGATCAGACGATTTCCTGCAGTTCTGCTTATCGTTCGGAAGTACGCAAAAAAAAAAGAAAAAAAGGGGAAAGACTCGTTATTCGGAGTCTCAAGAGTCATCGGATAAGTGCATATCGATTTCTCCCTATTGGCGAGGGTCGGGCCGTTGGTAAGATCGAGGCGAATGGGAAAAAAGAAGGCGGTAAAAAGGGCAAAGGCTATAAGTAACGGACCGTCTGGTGGAAAGCGCTCGAGGGCGAACAGTGATTTAGAGAAATTAAAACTTTAATTCATGTTCGGGTTCATGGGGGGGTTGTGTCCTCTACCCCCTCCCACCTTCTTCTCTCTGCCCAACCACTATTCCACCCTGTGGCATTCTGTACCCTCGATCAACCGAAATACCGCTCTGCGTAAATTGGCAAGCACAACTAGTGTTGGGTTTGCTATTCTCGAGACCTTCTCACATTTTCATGAAAATACTAATCCTCTATTACACAAGCTTAAATACTATAAAGTAATACACAAACTTAAAATAATACTATAAAATAATACATTTATTAGTAAATGCATATGTACGAAATCGTTAATTAAATAATTTTTTACAACATTATATAATTATTAGAAAACATTATTAACATGACATATTTATTATATAATACAATCTAGCAAATATAAAGAAATATTTTAACATTGCAGCTGCGTGTTTGTCATCGAAGAATCTCTTTAATAATGGATGATTTATAAGAAGAGGGCGAACGAACAAACGTTTCGGAGTCGACCATCCGTATCTACTAGACACAATTATTGTCATCTTGATTTAAGTCGCACATGCATTTTAAAGTACAATGCAGGCTAGCTCAATGTGGCCGGCAGTCACAGGAAACCAATAAAAATTCAATGTTGTCAGATAAAGAAGCAGTATGTATGTTTTATCATCGATTTAATAGATTTTCTTATATATAATGGTTTTTTTTTTAAAGAATATAAGTTGTATATAAATATTTCTTTTGTATAAATATTTTTTTCTAAAATGTGTTGTACCTTTGTTTATTGCTAATTTTATGACAATAATTGCAACTCAAAAAGATTATGATAATAATAATATGTATAAAATTCGTTCATATTTTTTTACACCTTATTTTTACGATAATTTTAGAAGGATCAATTTTAAATGTAATTGCAATCATATTAATATATACATATTAATATACACATATATATCAAAAATTAGGAATAATAAAAATTGATGATATTTAATTAAATTTCCGCTAAAAAATTAATTTAAACTTATTGAAAAAAATTGCGCGGTTTTTGCGATGTCTCTGCATGTTATTGCATCTCTGCATTTTATGTAGTAATAATGTTAATCAATTGTGAAGAATTCTAAAAAAACAATGACTCGCGAGACAGAAGCGTCGCGATAAATCTGCATTTCGGAAGACGTCCTTACAAACTTTTATGAGCCATACAGGATACATAATATGAGGAAAGGACGTACCCTTTATCTTCTCTTTCTCTGGTCTGCTGTCCTTCTTGTAGTTTCTTTCCTTGTTCTACCTTCGCTTTCCGCATTTTTCTTTCGTCTCTCCGTCTCTAGATATCGCGCTCCGGCTTTTAGGGGGCAACCTCTGCCTTCAATAAATTCCCATCACCAGCTTCCAGGTACGCCTTCAGTAAGTAAATCATATCGTAAGTGAAACTGAATTGAATACAATGAATAAATATGGCTTTCGTATAATAAAAGGTAATCACGAGGAATCACAAAACTAATTTTTAATCCAAAAGAAAAATTTCTTTTTCGATATCTTTTAAATTTAAATATATTCGGCAACATTTTAAATATATATTTTATGCAATTTGTTGATTATAGTTTTTATATTTTATTTGGTCTCTTTAAAATAATTACGTTTTTCGCGTCTATATTCATCATAGCATTTTTTTCTTTATTGTACAAAGCGAATATGGGCGATTTACGCTTGTTCGCGACGCAGTTTTGCCCGCATGTATGCGTGAATGCGAATCAAGAAGCCAGTCGGTGGAAATGCATAAATACATGAATCGCGAGGCAACGAGCGAAAGAGGGAGACAAGCTTGGCCCGCATATGTAGCGAGCGACTCGTAATAACGTGTGGATAGCCGTTTTCTCTCGTCATGAAAATACGGTCTTTCAAAAGCCTGTACTTTCCCCTCGAAAACGGACGAGGTTTCGCTCGTTACTAAAAAGGACATATGAGTAGTGACAATCTTATTCCACGATTTCCTGCCATTCATTATGTCTCGCCACAACCTTCTTTCTCGTTATTCGTTGTTAATAAAAATGCATTGTTATTATACATATTATTATATATATGTACACATAATATTTTATTACTAAATTTGTGCAAAAATTTTTGAAAAACTGCAGTTCAATTTGTATAGATATTTTATGAACTGAAAGATTATAACGTAAAAATGGTTTGTTTTTCACAATTATTGAGATGGAAAAAAAACTGTAAGTAAAGTAAAAATTATTGTCTAACTAAAAGTATTAATTGTTAATTGTTTCTGAATTATTTCAAATAATCAATCAGAAACATAATACAAATCAGAAATATAATAAAATTTGGTAGGCAATCGACTGATTAATAAGTTTCTTACCAAGTCTGCGAGCGAACTGTCTTTCTAATCTACGATCCTTTCATTAATTTATTACATAAGGCAAAATTTTCTCACTAATATCTTCAATCTGTTGTAACACAATTGGCGTCGGCTTCATGAAAGAATAACGATTCGATATGGTGATTCTCGTGACTCTCAAGATTCTCTTTTAATCTCTCAACAATCAACCGAATTAAAAGTCGAAGGAAACGCAACCAAGGGATGACTGTGCCACAACGAGCGCAGGAAGTAAATATAAAGGGGAGGGATGACTCTGCAGGCATTAGAGAGGCGAGATTCGCATTCCCGCATTACTGTCACGCGAGTAATTACGCACCGTCGAAAGCAACGGTGCGACGGTTAGAGATGGGGCGAAGGAGTGGGTGGTGGATGTAAGGGACGATGGGACGGAAGGAGTTAGAAGGGTTGCTGTCGCTGCGCTGCTGGCTCGGCGTCTCCCGCGTTGCGCGATTCGCAGCCAACGGGAGAAACCAGAGCTAATAAAAGCCCACAATTACCTCCGGTTCGAGCCATTTGTCTTGACGGGCGTCTCATGCCCGATATAATTCACCGTGGCAACAACACATTGTTGCCTAATGAGGTGTAA